AAATTCAAGACCTTGCACTTGCCAGGCAGGTGCAGCACCGATGAGCTACATCCCCAGCCCTCTTTTTCTTTTGTTGCGTGTTTTTTGAGACAGGGACTCCCTATGTAGTTCAGGCTGGCCTTGAACTCACTATGTAGCCAGGGCTGGCCTCGAACTCTTGGTGATTCTCGTGCCTCATCAGCCTCCCGAGTACGGGGATTACAGGTATGCGCCACCATGCCCAGCTCTGGTATATATGATACGTTATGTGAAAAAAGTAAGGCACTGGACTCTGTACAGTATTCTGCCATATGCATAAAAAAAGACACATATTTGTGTATGAAAAAACAGCTCTGCAGGTATATTAGAAACCAGTAATACAAAATTCCTCTGGAAAGAATAACTAGGTGGTTGGCACAATAAAAAAAGAAACATTCTATTATCACTTCTATTCTTTATCCACTTGAATCCATTCAAACTAGAATTTTCAAGTTAAAATGTAAAATTCAAGTGACAAAACAATTTGCGGGGGAAAGTGGGGCTGGTGTGTGAGGGTAGATGGCAGGCAGGCGAACAGGGAGGGCAAGGGAGAGCAAGGGGTACAGAAGTCAGAGAAAGAGAAACAGAGAAAGCAGAGACAGACCCAGCTAGTCATCACCCCTGTGTGGTGTGATCGAGAAAAGTTTCTTTTTGTGCAAGCAATACTTTTGCTATTTCCTGAACAAACAAATGCTAATTTTGCAATAAGAAAATTTATTAAACAAAAAATATTTTCATGTCAAGCTCTTATGCTATTGCGATTTCCAGGTACGGACTCACCATGTGGACTAGCAAAACTGGCCCCTGGTCCTATTGAGATTCCATGCGAGGATGGGGGAGGAGTTGGAACAAATGACGCTGGTGATGGGGCTCTCAAAGCCCCACTGGGGGAGCTGGCAGCATGCAGATTTCCTAATAAAGGAAAATAATTATAGATGATCTTACAGGACACATATTATGTCCTGTCCAAGGACCCCAAATTAAAAATCTCCCTAGAGCCTAAAGAAACAAGCAGCAAAGCTCCCATAATAGCAGAAAGAAAAACTGGAAAGAGTTGGTTACTGAAAAAGAGAGAGCTCAATTCTAGGGGCCCAAATTCTAGCTCTTAAGTTGACTAAATAATTTTTTAAAAGTCCAGTGTACTTTTTACTCACTTACTCATTGAATAAGTAGGCATGAATGCCAACTTCATGCCAAGCACTGTTTTAGGCACTGAGGATGCAGCAGTTAACAAGAGACAAAAATTCCTGCTCTCATGGAGCTTATATTCTAGTAAAATGAGAGAAACAAACAAATCTGTCAGGTAATGATTAGTGCTATGGAGTAAACTAGAGCAAGCTAAGGAGGCAATTTTCAGAAGTACTGGAGGAGGGTACTGTACTTTATATAAAGCAATCCAAGAAAACCTCTTTCAGAGGACATGTGCAGGAGGCTGAAGTTCAAGGTCAGCCTGGACAACTTAGTGAGACCCTGCCTCAAAATTAAAAAAAAAAAAAAAAAAAAAAAAAAAAAAAAAAAAAAA